GGGGATCCAACAGCCTCTTCTGTCTTCCGTGGGCACTGCATGACACAGGTGCACTTATCTACACACAGGCAATACACACATACACATAAATAAAAATAATAAAATATTTTTTTGAAAAAAAATGATGATAGTTTGAACTGGGATGGTAGCAGTGAGATTAGTGAGAAATAAGCTGGATTCTGGAGATAGATTAGAGAGATAGATGATAGATAGATGATAGATAGATGATAGATAGATAGATAGATAGATGGATAGATAGATAATAGAGATATAGTTAGAGATATAGTTTTGTTTGTTTTTTGAGACACAGCTAGCTTGGAACTTGCTATGTACACCAAGCTGGCCTTCATCTTAAAGATCCACCTGCCTTTGCCTTCTGAGTGCTAGGATTAAAGGTGTGTGCCACCACACCTGGCCTGTAAATATTTTATGGCATTGCCAACAGGCTTTACTGATCAACTGGATGTGGAGACTGAGTGGAAGAAAGGAATTAAGGAGCATCTGGAAGAATGAATACACTAGCATAGGGTATGCTGCCACAGTTTTGTAATCCCAGCACTCTTGAGACAGATGTAGGAGGATCCTGCATTTCAGGCTAGCCTGGGTTAAATATGAGTTCAAGGCCAGCCTGAGCTATAGACAGACTCTACCTAAAAATAAAAACAACATCAAACAAGGGCTAAGAATGCAGCTTAATGGCAGAACACTTACCTAGCTTGCAGGAGGCCCTTGATTCTATTCTTACTGCCTTTTTCAAATAAAAACACAAACATTAAAAAGAAAATACACCAACATAACATACTATCAAACACTTTAGTCCTTGTCAGTTTCAGTTGATGATGCTATCAGGGGCCTAGGTTTTTTGTACAGTATTTATATTCTATATACAGTATTTCTGTTCTGTATATTCTGTATATACCTTGGCTTTCCAAGATTGTAAAATGGTTTAAAGCATTACCGGGCATCATATCCTTGAGGTTATGTTGTTAGGAAAGAAGAAAAGGGGCCTTCTTTTATAAATTTTTTAGGATTTGTATTTCTTCTTCTTTTTTTCTTTTGGTCTTTTTGAGACAGGGTCTCTCTGTAGCCCCAGCTGTCCTGGAACTCACTATGTAGACCAGGCTGGCCTTGAACTCACAAAGATCCACCTGCCTCTGCCTCCCAAGTGCTGGGATTAAAGGCGTGCGCCACCACGCCCAGCCAGGATTTGTATTTCTTTTTAAAATGGAGAAAACCGAGGCTGGAGAGATGGCTCAGTGGTTGAGGACACTGGCTGTTCTTACAGAGGACCCGGGTTCAGATCCCAGCGCCCATATGGTAGCTAACAACTGTCCGGGGGATCTGACGCCCTCTTCTGACCTCCACGGGCATTGCATGACATGAGTGCGCTTACATACATTCAGGCAATATACAAATACACATAAAATAAAAATATAAATAAAATGTTTTTTTTTTAAAGATGGAAAAAAAACCTTTCCTAGAAATAGTTTCTCTTCGCCCTACCACATCCCACAACAGCTGACTTCCTTTCAGTATGGTTAGCTAAAATCCCACCATCTGCCCATGTTTAAAATAGCATTTGGCGAAGATATGAACCCACCATAATTGACTTAGACCAATTACAGTTTACTCCCTGGGGCTGGGATTGGAGCCTAGCACTCTTCAAATATACAGCCAAGCATAGGAGTGTGGTTACCCCAAGTTTTAACAAAGTAGTAGCTTTTGGAGTATCCAGTCAGCAAAATTTGTCATATAATACCAAAGAATGGAATGTATTTGCACCATATCCTTTTGGAATAAAGAATTGCTAGAGAATTTCAAGTCAGGAAGTAGCATGATTAAATTTCACAATATTTTCAGGATGGAGCTATACTCCTGAGGGCACATGGGTCTAGAGGCAGGGCCACTAGTTGGAAAGCTCAGAAGGTAATGGGGGTATTAGGGGTATTAGGAAAACCTAATGACCAATTGGATGGAAACAGGGAAAGTAAAAGGAAGGGATTATAGAATGACTCTCACTTAGGTTCTCTATGTGTTAATCATAAGGTATTTTGCCCAAGATCAACATATGGATGGAGGGATGGAAAGACAACAAACTTGACTTTGAACAATGAGGAGTCTGAAAGAGACATGAAGAGAGAGGATTAACTGTAGTGCTTAGAGCAAGGCTCGGTGTGGAAGGATGGAGAATTGATTAAGGAGCGATGAAGCAGTGTGGGGCCTTTATACAGGATGGGTTTGGCTGACTTTATTCAGGGTTGGGTATCAAGGGCATTTTGGCAACCTTTTTAATGTAATTGTAGACAAGCCTTTAAGGAGCAGTTAAAGACCTGTTTTGAAATATGGCTTTCTATAATCTGTTTCAACATGTTGTTGGGTTACAGCGAATGAAAAAGAGAAATGGTCTCAACACCCCCCTCCTTTTTTTTTTTTTAAATTTGGCCTGCTGACTAGAAACCTCAGAACTCAACCCTGTGAGCCGTTAATCAGATAAGCACAGCAGGGTTTTGTAAGGAATCATGCTGAACAAATGCCTGGGGCATATGGACTTATTAAAGGAAGTATTGTCCAATCCAAACAGTCAAGGAAAATTTGCAAAGGTGTAAGGAGAAAGCCTTTGGATTAAACTGTAGGTTTCTGTTCTGTTTCATGACAGTAGTTCTTTACACTCTCTAGGAGGATGTTTAATGAACCTTGAATTGTAAAATCAATACAGCTGATAAGTCATATGAATTAAGTGTTGCTTAAAATAGATAGGAATATTTACCCTTCAAAATACCTATTTTGTGGAACACTGGAGCTTAAAATATACATAGATTAGGCTTAGAATTCAAAGACAGCAGCTTCAAGAAATTAAAAATTATTCCAAAACATCTTTTGAATTATTTCCATGTTTTCCTTTCTTTAGGTACTGAACTGTGCTCTGGAACAATATAATTAGCTGATAGTTCTGTAATTTTGTGTTTAAAACCAACTTTATGCAACTTGTGAGAGAAACAAGGTCTTACCAAGTAGTCCAGGCTGCCCCATAGCAATCCTCCTGCTTCAGCTTCCTAAATCCTCCCTCCCTCCCCCCTCCCTCCCTCCTTTCCTCCCTCCCTTCCTTCCTACCTTCCTTTAGTAGAGGATGACCTTGAACTTCTGTTCCTCCTGCCTCCATTCCTGAGGGCTAGTATTATACTTGTACACCACTATGCTCAGTTTGTTTGTCTGTGATGGAACACAGGGCTTCATGGTGCATGCTAGGCAAGGATGCTACCGACTGTCCCTCCCCCCTCCCTCCCTCCTTTCCTCCCTCCCTTCCTTCCTACCTTCCTTTAGTAGAGGATGACCTTGAACTTCTGTTCCTCCTGCCTCCATTCCTGAGGGCTAGTATTATACTTGTACACCACTATGCTCAGTTTGTTTGTCTGTGATGGAACACAGGGCTTCATGGTGCATGCTAGGCAAGGATGCTACCGACTGTCCACATCCCCTGCCCCTACACCTGGCTTTATATTTCTACTCTGTGGTTTCTATGTCCCAGATTAAATACAATGCTTAGAGCAGCATGGTGATTAAGAGAGAAGAAAGTTGAGAAGTGAGAACTGAAGGGGAAAAAAAAAAAAAAGAGGATGAGCTAGGAAGATAATCTGATGGGCATAGTAGTGGTGGGGAGACACAAACTAGACAAAGGCCAGATCACAGATGACAGATCAGGCTGAGCAGCCTCTGCAGCAATGTGCCAAAACGATTCGGATCTCATCAACGGCTGTCAGTTTCTTGATTTTTTTTTTCTCCTTTTCTCTCCAACTCAGGACCAACCAGAGACAGCTGAATATGCTGTTCTGAACCGATCACATCAGATGCCCTGCCTCCAGTCACCCAGCCTTCAGCTTCCCTCTGCTATTAATACCCCAAAGTCAAAAAATACATGACTTGTCCCTTTTGTTATTAAGCTGCTCTCTTAATCTGACAGCTTCAAGTCTCTGTCAAATGCAATGACAGTGACTATTACCGGTCACAATCAGCTTTTAATAAAATAGTCTCTACTGATCTCATCTTGATGGTCTTCATCCCCTTCCCAGTCATTCATTTCTCATACATTAGCGTGTTTTGTGTGCAAGAAGATGGCCAGCTTTGGGAATATGTAAAAGCAGATAGTCCTACCCTTGGGGTTATTCTGGCTAGTGGGGCAGACAGACACATAACTGTAATTCAAAGAGTAAATGAAACAGTAGGTGTATACAAAGAATATGCCAAAGGTAAGAAATGAACAGGGGTCGACATTCAAGGCAGGTGGGGCAAGGAGCAGAAAGAATAAAACTTAACAGGCCCAAACCCTCTAGGAGTGTGTGGCTGGAGCTTAACCCGGAGGCGAGCATGACGGCAGGAGACGCGGCAGGTGCATCATGGGCAATGGTGGACGTGACACATTGCGAAAATCTTATATTTTATGCTATTCAAGCGGCTCCTTCCTACAAATGAGACACAAGGCTGGCGTAAGCAAAGGAAGAAACCCCCCCGGAAGGACTCCTGTCTCTGCGTGTATTACTGTAAAGGTGCAGAACGGCAGTGACACCGACGCTCATGTCCAGCACACATCAGACATTCAATCAATGAATGGACATAAGCACTTAGATGTAGCCATGTCTCTATTTCCCCACAATGGAGCTGGGGACATCAATTTGGGGAGCAAAAGGGAAAGTTTCAGGCTGAGGAACTGCCATTCTGGCGGGGAAGGCGTTGTGACAGGGTGCACGCCTGTCACGAACACCCGATGCGTACCCGGGGAGCCATGGGGCGGTGGGCGCAGCAGCGGAGGAAGCCTCCAGCCGGGAGCAGGCGCCCGAGCCAAGGCCTCGGGGCCGCGCACCGGTGCTGCCAATGCCCGCCCTGCAGGCGGAGCCTCGGCGCACCGCCTTTCCGATTGGGCGCGGCCGCAAGTCCCGGGCGGGCATTGGGGGACGGGCGCCCTCGGGGATTGGCCGCTCCCGGGAGCGGACGCGCTGTCGGCGCGGCGGGTTCCCCGCCGTCATTGGCTCGCTGCGGTTTCCTTGGGGACGTGGCGCCGCCGGCTGCCCGGGCCCTTCTTCCGGCTGGACTGGGAGCCACCTGGTGCGGGTGGACCGGGCCGAGCCGTGTGGAGGGACGAGCGGGCCTCGGGATCCCGTGAGTGGGAACGCGGGAGAGCTGCGGGTCCGGTATGGACGGGGGGCGGGAAGGAGAGTGGGGACCCTCGACTCCAACCCCCTGGAAATGGCGTGTTCCTCCAGGACCGAGTCGGCCCACGGGAAAGGCATCCCCCAGGATGCGGGGGCATGGTCCTCGGCCAGAGGAAAGAGAGCTGACAGACCCGGAGTGGGGGTCAGGGCAGTGGGAAATGTGCAATGCCTGTGCGGACCCGGTCTTGTGGGCACTGCTGGAGGTAAGCCTGATACCCAGCCAACCCCTTTCAGGCTGCAGCCTTAGGAGATGCCTGGGACAAGGAGGCCACCCTCTCATGGCAAAAGGAAAAGGAGGTGACAGACGGTGAGACTACAGAAGGGAACTCATGGCTAGGTAAGGCTTGCAATTCTGGGGGAAGCCTCAGTGGAGGGTGGTAGGCAGGTTGGGGGACCCTGGGAGGCAGTTATAAGTGAGGTTCGCCCTGAGGCCGCACCTGAACTTTGCATGCTGGTCAGGTGTATGCAAAGATAGTCAAAGTGATATTCTTTTAAGACCAGTACAATAATAATTTTCAGCGTATAACCCCCGGAATCGAGGGGTGAGTCTATTTGATCAGCTTTGAGAAGTGCTAGGTTATAATGTTATTTCAAGTTTCCACCTGAGTGAATCTAGGTACTCCTTGAGGAAGTTCAACAGAGAGGATTTTTTCGTTTTAAAGCAATAGACTTAGGTCATTTTGAATCAATATAGAAAGTGAGCTTCACAATTAAATACACTCATCCATACAATATATAATACTCTGAAGCTTTGAATGAGGATTAATGTAGACCTACATGTTCCGTCCAGTATGGGATAGTTCCAAAGCAGTGAGGGGAAGATGCAGAGAAGTAGATATGGTGAACTACCATTTGAGTAAGACAAAGGGAATGGAGATTCATACATTACTATATGTCTTGCTATGTATTAATGCCTATGTATCTAGGATATTTCTAGGAAAATATGTAAGAAATTGGCTAGCAATGGTTGCCTCCGTTAGAGAGGTACTAGGGTCAGACTAAGAGATTGAGTTTTTACTACATATTCTCTTAAGTCGATTTTTTTAAAAACCACATGCATATATAATCTATTAAAACATTTTATAGAATCAGTTAAATAACTTTCCCTGATTCACCAGGTTTATGAAGTTGCCCCGGGAGACTGATCTTTTCGTTAACATGAGATTAATTCTTTGAATTGCACTCAAAAGTGCAGAGTTTGGAGAAGGCAGATAAGGGTTGTCTGGATTGCATAATAGAAGCATTGTGAACCATATAGATAGATGCTCTTCTCTCATTTAAGACTAAAAGCAACTAGAATTCTCTTGGCATGAATTTTTGCCTTTATTAAAGAGGTCTTTTATCTAGTTTAAAAATCATTTTTAAGCAGTCAGTCAGTTATAGAAACATTTAAGATTTAAGTAATGTTTGTCTCATTTCAGGATCAGTTTTTCTTACCTCTGCCCAGCCCCCTGGTATTTCACTGTGCCCACAGTGAGCCCATTTCTCCGTCAGCGAGTGGCGTTCCTGGGACTAGTCTTCATATCCTGTCTCCTTTTACTTATGTTAATCATGGACTTTCGACATTGGGGTGCTTTCTTACCAAGAGATAGACAATATGAAAGGTGAGTCACCTTTAGATCACTTTGATCAGCTTGGCACTGACACCATAAACTAATTTTTGCAGTGCCAGGGTCTTGTACATGCTGGGTAAACACTCTGCTGCTGAGTTTGTCCCCACCTTATTTTTATTTTTATTTTTGAAACAGGGTTTTCACTAAGTTGCCCAGGCCCAGAATGACCTGGAACTCAGTCTGTAGGCTGGTCCTGAACTTGCAATTATCCTGCCTCAGCACTGGAGCAGTTGGGATTACAGGTCTATGCTACCAGACCTGGCTGTCATAATTTTTCTTTTAATAGACCCCTTAATATACTATCTCTGGTCCTTTGGGGAAATATTATGCCATTGTTAGTAAAATTGCATGCCATTTATTATATAAGGATGATCTAAAGCCCCATTTTGGCTGAGTTCAGTTTTCCTTCATGAATGCTGATACTGCACTTTAACTGTGAAAGGCATCTTTCTATTTTCTTGTTTGGGCGGGCTGAGCTTACTGGGTGCATACATGCTTAGGATTGTACACTTGAAGAATTGAATCATTATTAAATGATTCTCTTTGCCCTTGGTTCTGTTCTGTGCAATATACTAGTCTGATATTACTCAATTTCAGCTTTCTTTTGATTGATGTTAATGTGTTAGATATTTTTCTGTGTTTTAGTTTTAGTCTGTTTTGTCTTTGTATTAAGGTGGATTCTCTGTAGCTAGTGCTTAGCTCAGCTTTGCTTCTTATTGCTTCTATCCATTGTCCATCTCTTCTTTTAAGTGGGGTGATCAAGCCATTTACACTTTGATTATTAATTATTATTAATTAGGCCTGATCTGTGTTGCCATTTGTTGTATATTTGTCCATTTTTTCCTTTCTTTGGAACTGAGTACTTTTTTTTCTTTCTTTCTTTTTTTTTTTTTGGTCTTTTTGAGACAGGGTCTCTCTGTAGCCCCAGCTGGCCTGGAACTCACTATGTAGACCAGGCTGGCCTTGAACTCACAAAGATCTGCCTGCCTCTGCCTCCCGAGTGCTGGAAGACATGCCTGGCTTTGAGTACATTTTTAAAAGATTCTATTTTATCTCTTTTGTTGGCTCATGAGATAAACTTAACTTTTTTTTAGTGGTTGCTTTAGGGTCTGGAGTGTACAACTGTGTCACATTGCTTGTACGTAGGTAATATTACACTTCTTCATTTATAAAGTCTTACAGCTGTACCCTTTCATTCCTCCTTCCCTTTGGTCTTTAAGCTGTTGTTATACATTTTATTTCGACATATGGTATAGGCTCCACAATATATTGTTATTATCTTTGCTTTAAATAGTCGATTATCTTTTCAAGAGATTTTTTTGAATTAAAGGCTTGCATGTTTACTCATATATTTGCCATTTCTGGGGTCTTTATTCTTTTTTGTAGATCTGTATTTCCACCTGGTATAATTTTCCTTTTGTCTAAAAAGTTTTCCTTACATTTCTAGTAGAGTGAATCTATAGGGCATGAATTCTTTCAACTTTTATAAGATGGAGAAAGTTGTTATTTTGCTTTCATTTTGAAAGAAATATTCATTGTCTATAGAACTTTGGGTTGATCAATTTTTTTCTTTCATTGTGCCACTGTCTTTTAGCTTAGTCTTTCTAAGAAGTCTTCTGTCATGTTTATCAGTGATATTTATGTATTTTTAAAATTATATGTGTATGGCTGTATTGCCTGCTTGTATAAGTGCATCTATGTTGTGTAATACCCTCAGAGGTCAGAAGAATGAATTGGATCCCTTGGAACCGGAGTTGTTAGCCACCATGTGGGTGCTGGGAATTGAACCCTGGTCCTTTGCAAGACCAGCCAGTGCTCTTAACTGCTGAGCCATCTTTCCAGCCCTTTATCAGAATTTTAAACAATTTGATTATGATGTGCTTTGTTGGAGTTTTCTGCATGATTAGTGACTTGTTCAAAAGCAATCATTCACCAACAACCCCCTTTCTGCATGATACTGGGGTACAAAGGTGAATAAAACATGGCTCCCTGTAGCTCCAGCTGTCTTGGAACTCACTATGTAGACCAGGCTGGCCTTGAACTCACCAAGATCTGCCTGCCTCTGCCTCCCGAGTGCTGGGATTAAAGGCGTGCCGTCACCATGCCTGGCAGCCCTTGGATTTTTACATCTATAAATGTATAGTTGTTAAGAAAAATTTAGAAAACTTCTGAATATTATTTCTTCATTTATTTTTCTATTCTCTCCTCCAATGGGGACTCCAGTTATACTGAGCCACGGGTACTTTCCCACAGCTAGCTGATGATCTATTTCCCTTTAGTCTTTATTCTCTCTGTGTAGTCTGGATATTTTGGTGTTGTACTTTCAAGTTCAGTAATAGTTTCTTCTGTAGTGTTTGATCTACTGTTACTTCTATCTAATGAAAACTGAAACCTAACCTCTAAATTGTTTGATATACTTTCAGTGCCGTAGTAAGTACACACAGAAGATCCATGGTCCAAACTCTCTCTCTCTCTCTCTCTCTCTCTCTCTCTCTCTCTCTCTCTCTCTGTCTTTTTGAGATAGGGTCTCCCTGTAGCCCTAGCTGGCCTAGAACTCACTATGTAGACCAGGCTGGCCTTGAACTCACAGAGATCTGCCTGCCTCTGCCTCCCAAGTGCTGGGATTAAAGGCGTGCACCACCACGCCCAGCCTTGAAGATCCATATTCTCTTATAGCTGTAATTCATGTTGCTATATTTTTTAGATCAGTTTCTGCTGAGACCTCAAAATTAAATGATGCTATGTTGTGTTCTTCACTTTCAACATGATTTTCTTTCTTTTTTTTAATGTTAGCCTTGTTTTCTCTTTATCACCTTTTAGATATGTAGTAGCAGACTTAGGCCTGCAAGTATCAGCTTAAATTGACTTTAATAATAATAATAAACTTCATTGACTCATATAACTAGAAGTCCAGTGATGAGGGTTACGTGTTAGCTTATTTAATAGCTGCAAAATAGCAGCTAGTCACACCCAGGGCCACACACATCCTCATTCAGGTCCTGTAGGAGAGAGAAACAGGCTCTCTGTGGCCTCTCATAAGACTAATGATGAATCTTGCCAGAATCTTCTAGCAACATTTTCCTTGCATTCTTTGTGGTCAGAATTGTAATACATGCCTACCCTTAGTATTTTTTGATAGTTCTATCCCCAGAATTTTTCATTTCATATTCAGTTTTGTCATTAGTTAAACATGTATTGAAAACCACAGTGTGCAGGTGCTGCTAGGCACCAGGACGCAGAGACATGGTACCTTTTCCCAAGAAGCTTATGCTTCCAGCCTTCCATCTGTCAGAAGCCCTATTCATTTGTAGTTTTGAGTCTTCCTTTCCAGGAGAGAATACACTATTTGGGTGACTATAGTAGTCAGCAACTGATCTTAAAAAATTTGTTAACTAAAACCGTAAGTTGTAGATCTAAATTCCATAAGTTGAGTTTCTTTGCTGTTTATGGAATTTTTCTTAACAAACCTGAGCACAGTGTCCCACTGGAGGACAGTGTGATCTGATAATGGAATTCCATATAGATTAGCTAACATGGCCTACGATAGACTATTAACAAAGTGAGTAGTGAGCTCTATGCTGGAGAGGTAGACCAGGCCTGGCCTTTTAAGCTGTTGGAGATTCATACTGTACCATCCCGAAGGCAGAGAAAAAGCTTTGAAGACTGATGTGATCTGACCTTTTAAAGAATGCTCACTTTGACAGTGTTGTGGAAGATGAACTGGATAGAAATAAGAAGAGAGGGAGACTAATTGTAATATGTTGGTAGAGATGATGGTAGCCTGAACTTGTGTGACAGCAACATAGGTACAGAAGAGTAAAAGCATTCGAGTGAGATGTGGGAGGCAGCATGATCAGTAGTTCTTATTAACCACTGTTCCCCAAGTGACCAGGTTCAGTAGCTACTTGTTAGGTTGAATGAATTGAAACATGTCTGCCATGGAGCTAAGGAGCATACAGACTGTGCTACTATAAGGACATTACTTAAAGTCCTAATACCCTGAAAAGCTTTGGTTAAGCAGTCAGCAGCCACATACCCTAGAGCGCGTTGTTATTTAGGGAAAGACTATGTACACAGTGCCACAGACAACTGTATGTAATTAATCAATTGCGGCAGCCTCCATGAGTCTTTGGAGGTTGACATTTGCTGAGAGTTTGCTGTGTGTGCTTGATATTGTATCAGACACTGGGGTACAAAGATGAATGTAACGTGGCTCCTCAATGCTCATAAACTCATTTAGGAGCAGACTCAAGGGAAGAGTTGAGATAGCCGCTTATGTACAGTCATGTACAATAAGGAACTGTACACAGTTAAGAATCAGGAACATCATAAATTAATCAGAAGAGACTTATGAGTAACCAAATGTGCTATCACCAAGTCACTAAGTTCAAGTCCTAATGTGTATGGGTGTGGTGTTTTGCCTGCAAGTATGTAAGTGCACCTGTGAGAGCAGTCTTCTTGGAGATCAGAAAAGGGCATCGGATTCCCTGGAACTGTAGTTACAGACAGTTGTTAGCTGCTATATGGGCACTGGGAACTGAACCCAGGTCTTCTGCAAGAGCAGCCAGTGCTCTTAACTGCTGAGCTTTTTCTAGCCCCTCACACAGTATTTTAATTAGCAGGGCTCCCTCTTGTCTCGCAGAACAGAAGATTTCAGCAAATTAGAATGGTGAGTGTTGTGGCAGTGTCAATAGATGCAGACACCCTAAAGTCAATGATAACTGGCATCTTGACAGTGAGGCAAAGGATACATTTATTAGAAATAGACTGAAGCCAGGTGTGGTGTTACATTCTGTAATCCCAACCCTGTGGAGGTAAGGCAGGAAGGTTTCAAGTTTGAGGTCAGCCTGGGCTACAAAATGAGATCCTGTCTCAAAAAACGGGAAAAAACCCCAAATTTAATAATTCTTCTCTTCCCTGGAATTATATGAAGTGTATAATGGAGGATGATGGGTAGAATTGTCTCCATTCACACTTTTGCTTTCATAATT